AGTGAACCAAAGCTTGAAGCCAGTATCCTCCACCTCCTTCGCCTTCTGTCCCTTCCATTTTGTCTCCTGGACGCATAGAATATTTACACGCCTCCTAGTAGCTGCATCGACTAGCTCACGTAGCTTACCCGTTAGGGACCCTACATTTCAACTACCTATACGGACCCTAGTTGGTTCGACTAGCTTCCTTGCCCTTCGCGCCCGTCGAGAGAGATGCGAAGACCCTTGCTCATTTTCCACTACACCCGGGCGCTGATGTAGCGCGCCACTAAGGAAATGAGGACCCGATCCTTGCTCACTTAACACCATGCCCAAACCACGACATGGCGCGTCCCCGAGGGGGAGACGACCCGGCCCTTGCCCATTTGACACCATACCTGGGTTCCGATATGGCGCGTCGCTAAGAGGGTTACGCCCTAACGAATTTCTCGTGTGTTTCATCTCCATAGAATGGCTAGGTTTTACGTTAGCTCGCCAAGCCTACCGCAACCCTCCTCCTTTACTAGGGCTTGGGACCTGCTATGTTGAGACAACATAGGCGGAGTTATGCTTATAATTTATGACATTCGAGCAAATTATTTTATAACTTAAAAATGAAATTGAATGCTGAAAATTTTAGAGGAAGAATAAAATTTAATGCATGGGAATAAAATTTAATGCATGGTAATAAAATTAAATGTTTTGTTGCTCCTCTTTATATATATATATATAGATTTTAAAATCAACAATTAATGAATTTACATATCTCTTTATATTTCTTTTATGTGAAAAAAACATTTTCCAGAAAAAAAATACGCACTTATTAAGCATTACTTTCTCAAAAGAAGTATAATCCAGAGTGTCTGCACTGTTGCGCTATCTCTCAAAATATGCGCTATTGTAGCGCAAAATCACCCTCCAGTGCTGCGCCAAACATCTGCGCTATTTTAGAGAAAGCAACAGTGTTCGCCAGATGTGGCGCAACACTGTAGCATCTCTATTTTTTTTTTTTTTTTTTGTAATGTAATATTAATTTATATTATAATGTAATATTAATGATAAATTTTTGTATAATGTGTATTAGTAAATGTATTTTTTATGCTAAATAATTTTGTGTAATGTATTTTTTTATGCTAAATAATTTTGTGTTTTTTATTTATTGATGTATTATTATTTTATTTTGTAATTTTTTAGTATTAAAATGATATGAATAAAAATTTAATACATATTTTGTGTATTCCTATTGTTTCAACTTATAGAGCAGTCTCGTGTTGTTATACATAAACATATTTTTATTATTGGGTAATAAATATTTATATAATATTAAATATACATATATACCAATTTATTTGAAATAAAAAATGAATAAAAAAATAATATATTTGATGTAGAGTAAAATGTAGAGATAAGGACTGGAGATGAAAGTTTAACTCTACTCTAGAGTAGAGTAAAATCCGCGCTACAGTAGAGATAAGGGCTGAAGATGGCCTCACAATGACCCTGACACAACAAATTAGGTACTAAAATTTTATCCAATAAAATTAGAAAGTTCCATTCTAAGAAGTTACTAGTACAACACCCATGTATTACATGGGTAGGGACGGTGCCTCATCCCGGACCGTTCATGGACGTATTCATAAAAGTGGGATGGGTATCCGGACAGGTCAAATCCAGCACCGTCCCGGCCGGCTCCCACCCCTAATCAACATATTATAGATAATCCGCACCTAAATATATTTGGATTAGAAGTAAACTAAATCAACCCAAACCTAATAATGAAGCATGTATTTTTGCCACATAGGATCCCAAAGCATGCGGGCCTGCCACATAGGCTCAGCACGTTCTCAATTAATATATAGGGGGGATAATAAAAAATGAAAAGACGTGTCAATTGGAAATATTATTCTTGTTTCTTTTCTTGTTATTATCTTGGGTGTTGCTAAATATCGCACCTCAAAAAGACAGTTTTGTCCTTTTCAAATTTTTTTTAGGCCGGTCGGCCGCGATTCCCCGTTGGCCGCACCAGACACGACCTTCTTTCCTGGTTGGCCGCACCATGCACGGCCTTCTTTCCCGGTTGGCCGCACCATGCACGGCCTTCTTTCCCGGTTGGCAGCACGGATTTTTTTATTCAAATTTTTATTTATTATATACATTATATTAGAATTTAGATATTATGTTATAAATTAAAATTTATTATCTTACAGTTAAAATTTAGAAATTGTTAAATTATAAATTATAATTAATTATCTTATAGAATTTTATTATTATTATGTTAGAACTTATAAATTATTATGTTATATAACATAATATTAATTATCTCTAACAAAATACTAATGAGTGATGTTATTAAAAATTGCAGTCCCCTTTTTTTCTTAAATCCGCTCCTTTTCAACTCGGTAATAAATTTTAAATACAAAATAATATTATGACTTAAATTTGAAATTTATAAATACAAAATAATATTATGACTTAAATTTGAAATTTATAAATACCAATTTAAATAACAAATTGAACAAAAAAAGTCGGATTTTGTTCGAGCAATTCATTGAGACCGATTAATTCAGTATGATTAAACCGAATTTTATGACAAGATTGTTTGACACTTTTCTCAGAGTTATATGATTCGTGTGAATATTATAGTAGGAAAAACATTCAAGCTCATTTTTAATTGAAGTATTAATGAAAATGCCTTGCTGTTGACTTTCATTCTCTAATGGACTTGTATTTAATCGAATCAATTTTACCACGCTTGGGATCATGATGTTAGTGTCATATCTAAATTTAGTTTCAACGTTTCTTCTGATAGTAGTAGTAATAAATTCTAATCAATTCGAAACCACATATAATTGCAATTTTTTTTGCCCGTTCGATAGCTTCTTCTGAAATAGTAGTAATAAATTCTAATTTATAAGATAATAATTATAATGTATAACACCATAATACTTTCTAACTTCTAACATAGTAGTACTAAATATTACTTCATACGACAATCAATTCTAATACTATATCATAATAATTTCTAACTTATAATATCATAATAATTTCTAACTTATAACATAATAATAATAAATTCTAATTTATAAGATAATCAATTCTAGTATATAATACAATAATTTCTAACTTCTAACAAAATCGTAATAAATTCAAATTTATAAAACAATCAATTCTAATTCTATACCATAATAATTTCTAAATTCTAATATAATACTAATAAATTCTAATTTATAAGATAATCAATTCAAATATATAACATATTAATTTATACTAATATAATTTTTTACAAACTAGTATCATTTCTAATTTATAATAATATAATTTATGCTAATTTTAAAACTAGTATCAATAAATTATACTTCATAAGATAATCAATACTAACCTATACCACAATAATTTCTAACATATTATTAAAAGAAAATTCACTTATCATCCCACTTTCATTTTTTTTTTTCTTTTTTTTAGTGAGGTAAAAATTATTTAAATATTATATATATATATATAAGTTACTATTAGTTAGTTTAAGTATTTGAATGTTTTAATTTTTCTTAATATTTAATTAACAAAATTTTCTTAATATTT